GCCCCGTCTCTCCTATTTCGTCATAAAACTGTAGGTCGTGTCAAATAAATCAAAGCCATATATTGGACACTGTCGCTTTTATAATGACCAAAGCAACATTTTTCACGTAGCCTTTTCTGAGGAGAAATAAATCGCGTAACATGTCTTACGAAACTTGTCGTACTTACAAATACGGTTTAAGAACGGTATTATTTAATTTGCACTGTTTTAAATGTATTAATCGTTAGAGTATTTGCCACACATAAATTTTGAAGATCTGGAGAAAGGGTGATCCATCGGAAGCATAAATCACAACAAAATTACATGAAAATTGCAGACTCGGCTTGATTGAGTCTGTTCATGAGGGATAATGAAAACGTGCAACATCCCTCACGCCCCCTAGCACCGGCTTGAGTACTCAATTTTCAACACTAAAAAGTGCTGGAATCAATGATCTCGGAGAACCAGAAAAAGTATTAGAACACTGAAGTGAAGTACGGGGCAACTTTGTACAGCTGCCGCCATCCGATCAGTTGCGTTCTTTGTAGTCCCAAAGCTGGTTTAGGAACACCCCGAGGTATAGATGAGGAAACGTGCAATTTATCGCCATGATATGAAGTTTAGATTATATTTAGTTAGTGCGCCGAAGTTTAATACAAATGTATGTTGTGTTGTTCCCACCTTCTTGCTAAAGAACACACTTCGAGGAGGGGAGAGCAATGCAACGGTAAAGAGAGTTGATCTCGTCTCACATACTTAAAAGTGAATGTTTTTGTTGCTACTGCTGCTGTAGTTGTTCTTGTTGTTATGATCAGCACAAATTGAATGTATGTTTCTCATACAATTGCTTGTATCTTATGAAATGAAAACGTTTTTTCTTTCTAGACTAAAGATTGACTGAAACCTTAAGCTGGAAATATCTGTCGCCTTCTGTATGTTAACATGCCAGATGATCTGTGGTTGAACATAGTTTTATGGATATTTTATACCACAAACATGAAAATTGTCATATACGCCGTGAAGGACAATTTACAGATCAAAGAAACAACAGTGTCAAAACCTCTTGTTTAACACGACAGTTTTGATAGATACATGAACTGCGTTAAATCAGTATATAACTGCATGTTAGAGGCCGATAGAACTTATTTAAAGCAATATTGAACGTTAAAAAGCCACAGGCAACATCGAATGAAATTCTTATACGTCAAAATAGGTTGTGTTTGCGGTATTGTTTTGTCCTAATTGTGGTCCCAATTGCAATGATCTTTGTTATACAATAATCCCTCTCATATTTTATGTACCAATAGCCAACTTAAGGTACATTATAATTAAAGGTACATCCAGATATCGCAAATAATTATACATTTTTTTAAGTTTTTATGCTTGTAACATCGTTGTTGGATATATATGATAAAACAAACATTTTTAAATACATTTAAAAAAAAACAACAAAAGAAATGAATGCAATACCATTCCATATGAAATACATTGTAATAAGATTTCAACAATGAAACTTACCAGTCGCAATTTTTCGGCCCTTTCCGTCAGTCTTCGGATAAAGATTATTATTGATAATAGCCGATATGTTCCGATTGAAAACTTACACCAGACTCTTGGACCGGATATGATATAAATTTTATGCAGTTTATACCGGCTTGTACGGGATTAAAATAAGATCGAATAATTACCGACTTTAATGACCTTAATTACAGCATAATTCAGAATGTAACGCTGCCACCTGTGATTTTTTTCTCTCTCTCTCTCTCTCTCTCTTACAATTTAAATGAATGAAACAAGTATTTTATGACAATAAAAAGGTAATGTTTAACTTGATTGATCGTGAAAATCTTTGTTATTGTTTAGCTGGCTATGGATTTAAATACATTGCAAAAACTTTTAGTTTGCATTTTCTGTTGTTGTTTGTTTTTTCCCCTCTAAATGCATGGCTGCTTTCGCGGCAAACTGGAGAAAACATATTTGATGAATGGAGTTAAACTTGGGTTACATTAAATCATATTATACTTATATAAGGCATTTTATTTGCTCATAAAAATTCTGAATTTTTAGCCGAAACCAAAACTGTTTAAGAAACGAAACTTATATGGATGTGTAAGTTTGCAGTGAATCAACTGTCCTAAAAAAAACCCAAAAAAAAAAACCAACAATAACAAAAAACCTAACAAATAAAAACACCAAATCTCTTTTAACTTCTGAACGTAAAATCTTATAAAACATTTTATGCTATAAAGTAATTCTCTACTGCTAGCAAGTCCTTCTCTCATTCAGAATAAGCTTTTCACAAATCAGACTCAATTATTATACCAAATGCAATAGTGATATTACATTAGTCATGTTAGTGTTTGCGCGCGGTATAAAAAGAGAACGCCTTTTTTCGTATAAATCATAAATCAAAGGAGAAATTAGTTAGAAAATCATTCCTCGTCGTATTTAGTGTGCCATTGTTCATCACAACATCACAATATAATCATGAATTCATCGCCATTGTTATAATTTAACGTCTGATGACCTTAGCCGTATGCTTAAATGAAAAGACGTTTTTCTATCGTACGACGAATCAATTCTCTTTTAATTTCATTACAAAATATTAATGATCCCTTTCAGTTCTTTCAAATCAAATGAAATTCCAGCAAGAAATATAATTTGTCATTCCAAGAAAAACGATAACGCTGAGGTCGAAGTTGGGATTAATTCAGAGGGCCCTTATTATCGATCTTTGCTGAAAATTAAAACACAAGAAGAACGTGCGTCATAAGGCAGGTCAGTCCGGGACGATACGAGCAATTAAATTTTCTTTATAGGGTGAAAATTCGAGAATTTATTGAAAAAGGGAAAAAAATCATACACGAAATGAGCGTTAGCTGGCAGCAATATATAGTGAATTATAGAAATATTGATCACAACCAGTAATTTCACAAAATCACGCATAAAACACGGAGATGAAGAAAAAGAAGATGGAATTAAGATGAAATCTTGCCATAAAATAAAGATTTATATGATAATTTTAGCTCTGACAGAATCTTTAACACGCTCCAACTTAAATTTTATTACATAAAACTTATCAAAGATTTAATAAGTTCTGCAATTTCCTTTCAGTGCGAGGACATTAAATTTTAAATAAGGAGGGAAAAGACCATAAAACATAAAAGAGGACAACCTTTGATGGCTTTAACAAAATAACGGATGGTTTAAAGAGTGGGGTGAAACACGCAATTTTTTGCCAGAAATCTGTAAATAATTAATTGGAATATGGGGATAATTTAGAATGGAAGACAATACCAATATTTTATTATGTACATGAATCGTGCAATTAACGGAAAATTGAGGCATTAAACAAATAGGTCAGAATGAATGAAATAAAACTGTCATGTGACAAGATGTTTTGGTGCGTAAATATTTTAATCCAAGTTGTGTATGAAATTAACACAGCATGGTAAATGGATCGTTTTCATGGACCAACACAAAATCTTTTTTTTTTACATATAATAATTTGAAAAAAAAAGAAGAAATCCTGCATATTTTTATGATTTATTACATTAATATGATATGTGAATCTTTCGCACGCTATTAGATACATTATGTACGTTAAAAGTAGAGTTTTTGAAGTACCTTTCATTTAATCAAGTTTATTACTGAAAAAAGTAACAGTAAATTACTGCAGGTATGGTCCGGTCTGGGACGGATATAAGGTATCCTGGATAGTCACATGACTACGCTACAATGCAGCCGCCATGACACCGTCTGGCTTGAGAGTCTCTGTTTCAGCCATTTAAGGTATTGGTGAATTTTGAGTGTTTCCACAATTTTGAAGTGTAAGAAATCTGTTTCTATCTTGTACTTCACAGCATGTCAAAATGAATTCTTTTATTCAAAAATAATTTTAAAAGAGAAGTAGAATCTATGTTTACAATTTACCAGATTAATTGTCAATGCACGAATGCCATCAAATACATAATAAAAACTCTTCTTAAAGAAGCTTATTTCTTTTTAAATACAGAAATATATTTAAAGAAATGACTTGCCATTAACAGAATCGTTAACATGTCATCAAATATATAATGTATCTTAAAATTGGAATTTTTGAAGTAACTTTCATGTCATTGCCTATATAATGTTAGAAAGGTAAACGATTAAATAACTGCGTTGAAGGTCTGTGAAATACAATGTAGAATAGTCCAGTCACGAACGGGTATATAGGCGGGTGGTCACGTGACTCTTCTATAAAGCGGACGCCATGACTACGTATGGCGTGAAAGACCCTGAAAAGCGGTTACCTTATTCTTTCTGTCATTAGTGTCGGTGTATTTTAAGTATTTCCATAATATGGTATTTTTTCTTTAAAATACTATATTTTTTATTCTATCTCTTTGAAATATATGTTAAATAGAATGTCACTATGTCTTCTTTATTTAATTAAACGCATGTTCTTATTATAAAACGACGCTTTGGCATCTCGACGTAAAAGAGTACGTTGGAATTTAATGTCAGCGTCCTTAACCTGTATATAATATATCTTTACAAAATAGAAATTACAAAAATATAACCCCATGTGTGAGAAGATTAACAAATGTTCTTTAGTTCTCTGCTAGACAGTCACATTTGGTAGAGAGCAGTCTCTTAGAATTTTACACCGTAACTATTTCAGCTCTATCTATCATTCATTACTGAAGCGTTTGATGCCGCACTGGGACATATTATGGCCATACAAAATTATTTGCAAATATTAGTTTTCCATCTTTGTCAGAAGTGAGGAATAATAATTGCACATTTTCCTCTGCAAAGATGGAATATCACACGTTCAAATCCCAATAGCTGTCGAACGAACTGAAAAAAGAAGTGCGCACTTCCGTTTTTGCGAAGTATTAATTGTAGCGGAGTGCAATTTTCAAACAAAGGGTCAATTATTTCAGTTGAACATTGCTATTAAATATGATTTGGGCGTCACAAGGGCGATATTTTGTCGCCCTTTGTTGTAAGAAGAAGATGTTTATTATTGATATTGATTAGGGAGGTCCATCCTGGCAATTGCTAGTCTCTGTCTGACATTAGAGACAATACAATCATATTATATTGACGGTATTTAAAGGAACAATTTCAAGACAGTAATCGTCATTTTTTTCTTAAGGTTATTGTATCTTTACAGTAAAGATAAAGAGACGATAATATTAAGTCGCGTATTTGTGTTGCTTTTATCACCCCAATTACGTCATCATCATGAGGGTCGTTGTCGTCATCATGACCATGCTCATCATCGTCGTCGTCTTCTTCTCCACCATCATCGTCGTCGTTTTTATCATCGTCATTGTCATCAATGTCAACGTCATCATCATCCGCGTCATCTAGGTAGGCTAAGCGTCTGTCTTGATCATCGACGTCGTCGTCATCATCATAATCATCATCAATATCAACGTCATCATCACGGTCGTCATTGACGTAGGCTAAGCGTCGTAATCAAAGTCATCATCATAAGTACCGTCGCTTTTTATCGCTACAATTAAAAATATCTTTTTATATTTAATATTTCATTCAAATTGTGTGCGTGCATGATTCTTAATAAAGTTCAGCTTTTATCAGATAGATTTCTAAATTAAAAAGTCAAGGATCGATTTTCTAACATATCTAAAAACTTATATTAAGTATAGCAACAGATAAGATCATATTTTATTCTTTTATCAGGGCGTTGCTGGGGAAAAGAATCTGTGTTCCGTTTAAATATAAAAGCTCAGTTGAAAAATGAATATTTGCTAAAGTAGTTCACTCGTCTCGTATTAAGATTGTTCCCTTCCTAAACAAAAAATTCGGACAGCTTTGCGCTTGATAAAACCGGAGGGTAACGAAATATGCCGAATGTGATGAATGCTATATCTTAATATTTGACAAGTTTTGCCATATTACAACTAATGTCAAGATATTTCAAATGTAATTTGAATAACTGATTGGCTTATTTGTCATTAGTATTACACTGAATTTCCATGTATACTTGAAAATAAAAACTTTGCGAAGTCTAGGGGTGACTATTTTGTTATGTATACAGACCTGATTAAGACACAGAGACGCCAGATAATAATGTATTATCATCGTGTAAAAAATTCCATACACGAGATGATGTTCCCGCATTAACAATTACTTTGACACTAGGCGGCCCGGAACACAGCTCTTCAATTATTTGTAAGAATTTTGACAGAAGGTGATCATTTAGTGCCGAAAACGGATTATTTATTGCAATTTCTTGAGGAATATCAATAATTCCACACAGAGAAACAGTATCTCTCAAAGTGGTGTATTTATATTTGGTACGTTTTCTACGGAATTGTCAGCAAATGTGGATAATTCCAAATGAGCTCGCTAGCATGGCGTTCATTCTTTACAAGACCATAAAGCAATGGTTTTCATGAAAGAGAAAACCTAACAATATTTGAAAAATTCAAGTTACAGAATATTTCATATTTAGAGCATAAGGAAGCATAAGATAAGAACCTGTATGTATGTAGTTCGGGGGCGTAAGTAGATGTAGTAATGCGATTTGTTTTATTCAAGTCTAGCTTTCGAGATTTTGTATGATCACGTATGCATGCACCGAGAAGTTAAATTAAAGGTTGAGATACAATTAGAATTAAAGACTTTTTTAAATCAAAGAAAATTCCGCAGTTAAATCGCAATCTTAGAATTTTTCCTAATTTAATTGATATCTGTTTCGAAGCACAAATTTTACGCACATGTAATTGCACATTTAGTGCAGGAAGAAGAGTTAATTGAAGCATTACAAGACTTACAAAGCCTTGTGCACCATGCATTTATTAATTGTACTATTTTTTGATCTTTGATTCTCAAATATTTAATACTTACTGCAGTGGAAACTTATCTCTAAGTTATTCATAGATTTACAAGTAATACTCTTGTTTGACTTTTCGTCATATCATTAAAATGACACTTTCAATGTTGTATAGAGATGATTTCACGTTTATTTAAAAGAAAATAACAAAAAGGGATTCATAAAACATAAGAACGGTTTCTTGCAATTGTGTAGTTAGTCAGCAGAAAATAGTTCCACGTTGCACCACAGACTAGCCATTTACAATGCGTCTTCAATTAAGGAAAAAAGGAAAGAAGAGTTAAATATTTGAAATAAAAATATATTTACATTTCCACCTAAAGATATACATTGTAAGGAGAAACTTAAACCATATTATTAGAAAACGTCATTGCGCGTCTGATGTAACGCAGACAAGAGATAAAGTCATACAATGATTTCAGATAACACTTTATTAAAAAACTTGTTTCCATACTGAAAAAAGATACTTGTTTTTCTTTCATCTTTTGTATAAGGAGCTTTATGATAGCTAAACATATCTGTAAATATTGATTTGGAAATAAATAAGAAGAGAGGACATGTAGACTCTAGCACATGACCCCTTGCTTTAGCAGCAGACAAGTGAAACACCAAATCAACGCTGTTTTTAATCTTATCTAATATTTATATGTATTATCGTAAGGCAAAATTTACAAAACGTGGCTGACGCATTCATGTTTAAATGTATTTTCTTTATAAATATTTCTTTGATGACCGGGCGGTGTATCCTTATTAAAGCTTAATTTACATGCTTTACGTCTGTGCATCTGCGTCTCCGAATTCTATACGACACGAACATTTTGTCATCCTATTTACATTATTTTGAATATATTCCCCCCGACAATATCAATCAAATTACTGGACCTCGAGTGGAATATTTCCCCCCTACTCGTCCTCGACTTTCTTTTTGCCTATCGTCGTCCCATTAATTGTCATTTGGCCAGCTGAATTAATGACGACAATCCATTTGATAAAAACTGTGTATTGATGTCGCAGACGCAAAACGTTTTCCATTATTTTGATAAAGAAATATCTTGCCATAAACTCATTTTCTCGCTGGTTTTGTGTGACAGGCTACATCTAAATTCCAGTATATTCGTTAACGTCCAGAATAGCTAATAATCTGATATATAGAGATCGCCTAATGTCCATCTATCTATCTTAACACTTTAAAAGACGAGAGGCCCGAAATAAGTGATTTTTCTGAACTAATTATTTGGTTCTCGTGATTTCTTTTCATAGTAGTTGTTTTGCTTGTTAATATAAAGCGTTTATAGTCTTCAGCTCAGGGAACGCGCGAAACTTGCAAAATAATCATATTATGTGTGTCAAAAACGACTATTAAATATTAAGTATGTCGATGTACAGATCAACAAAATTCAATGAACACACATACACACACTGGTTTCCCATTAGGTTTTCTCTCTTTTCTTAAAAATTCTTCAAAAAAAGTCTGGTCTAAATCATAAGTGTATAGAACTGATGCTAAATAACGAAACAAGCATTGACATTTTCGAATATGTAATTACATTTTCCCTGCTTAACGCAAGATATAACATTATGATATGATTACAGACTTGTTTTGACCGCCAGGAAGTACATCGAAACTAACAAATCAATGTCATTTACAAGATTATAAGATTCTATCAAGTTTGGTTTTACGGCGCACCAATACAATTTCGGTCATATGGCGCCGAAACATGAAAGATGATTTTCGCTAACCCCGGGTGTTACAAACTTTAAGCAATATCAGTAGTTAAAACCAGCTAACCTGCTTGAGTGCAAAGAGATGCATAGACTCCAGTAATTCAACCCCATTAAGTCGCCTTTTATGATCACGCAGGGGTAAACGATGGCTGCAATTCTAATGCCTCAGCCCTTACAAGAAACCCCTCAGCCACAAGGGGATTGATTGCTATTCCTAAAACAGTAATAATTTTGATCGGGCCTCATATATTGAGCAGACGAAGGCCTTATTCGTCTTCCTACATCAGTGTGTCACCATTTACATGATTCAAAGACACTATCCTTAACATTCATCTCTGTTATAAGCGAACATACGGTTTAAGAACGGTAATTATAGACCGGGAGATAACAGAACATAGCCGTCACAATGAGCAATGTAACACCGGATATGGAATTTCTTTAGAGAGTAAGTTATGGAAATGATTGACAAAACAAGATATACGCGTGATTAGCAAAACAAAACGAATAGTTCTTCATTTTTGGCCCAGTTTCTTTTGGATTTTAAATGAACTTCAACAATGGTGACGAATGTTTACATTTGAAGAGATTGTTACAAAATCATAGAAGTTAATTGGAACAAGCAAAAAAGATGATTCAGTCGGAACTATACAAATCGATTTTTCTCAGAAACAATTCCAAAGTATTAATTTCGGTTATAGATTATTTTAGGCATGACCTGCATGACCTTAAGAACTACATTGCATAACACCAGCGGCCGTTTTTGATTTTCAAACCCACATGTTTCTGTACAGAAATTGATTTATCAATTATTGAGAAATAAAGAACTTACCATAATAGAAAAATGCATGTATTCTTATATCAATAGCATACAAGTTATTCAGACATGCTTCTTACCATACCATTGTTTCAAAATTATATTTTAACATTATTTGTTGAACGTTTCGGAAACATGTTCTATGTCTTCTTCTTCACGCATCATGTATATGATTTCATGTGCTAGTATATTCTTGCAACAGAGCGACTAATTAAAGAAGAGATAACTGCGCCATAAGGCTTTTCAAGACCACCTCGGACCTAAAAGCGTAAAGTCTGTATGCATTTACAGCCATGATAATGTAATTGTTCTTAATGAAAACACTTGCACACGTAAATATAAGATATTCCAAAGATTAAAACTTAAATTAAGATAACATTTAAAAATAACAAGATTCACGTCTGCGTTGCGTAACTTCGGAATGATGATGGGATCGTAATTTGTCTTATCATAACAAGTACTCAAGATAATCCCTAATCTTTTTATATTCCCACAAAATCGTGATATGCTAAATTTCCAATTGTAAAAGGGGTCGCCAAAGGTTGCTATTATAAGAGTAAGGTATATTAATTCCTTATTACGGAATTCGAGCGGGACCACATTAGCGTCGCGTTAAATGATGTATGCGGTCTGTTTCATGGCGTGCCAATATTATGATTTATGGTAGGTATCTAGCTATCTTTCTTCTTACATTAAAATGGTATATAAAGTCTGCAAAAATTGCCGTGTCTGGAGGTATCGGTGTACTAATGAACGTGTCCGTGACATAATCCCTCTATCTAGACGGTGTGCTTTATGACTCCTGAAAATAAAATAGTATAAATTCTACCATTAAACTGACACACAGTGTAAATATGTAAATTATATATTGTATATATATATATTGTCCGAATGAATTCTAAAGCAATTTTTCATAATAATGGTAACCTTATTTTAAGAAGGTAACACATGAAGATAAACCATCATACAAACTTAAATTTATATGTGGCATTTATATAATATAGAAAACACAAAAGCATCATGAATAAAAGATGATAATACTGATAAAATAACAAAAGTAACTATTA